GAGGCGTTTAATAGAGAAAGAAACCGAGTGAATGTTCCATTCTCATTTCTTTGTGAAGTATCCACAATGACATATCCTCTCTCTCTTATTCTTTCCCCCTCTCTCTCAGTCCCCCCTCTATTCAAAGACATGTAATTGCATCATTTTTCAGGACTTTGGCCCTGTCTGGGAGGTGGATTCGCCTCATTCATCAAACTAATGGAGGCAGGAGTGATTGGAAAATACAGGCTTTGATCATGGTGTCGTCTTCTTTTCCCCATCACTCTCCAGCATGTCTTGTATGTAAAGACACATGATCGACTTCATCTTGCATGGATTTGGGTCATTTACGATGCACAATGCTAATAGCCAGGCCTTTGCGACTGTTCAGAAACTTTTTTATTATGACAATTTAGATGACAATATCCTCCCAAAATGATTTACAGTAATTGAAGGCACTATGCAATGACTACATGAAGAAAGCAGCCTCAGTATTTCTTAAGCTGCGCTATACATCCTACACTTACAGTATATTGGAAATAATTCAAGTTACATTTGATATCTTTAATAATTTCTTCAAGTATTGACTGATGATTTTTGAGTTTTTTTGTATGTATGTATGTATGTATGTATGTATGTATTTATTGGAAGATTTTGAAATGAAACCACACCATATCCTTATACTTCTGCTTTGAGTGATGCTCATAACCCTTGCCACATGCCTTGCACGTAGCCATGCATTTATACTTCTGCATTCTGTTTGTGTTGTATCGACAATAACACTCCTGAAACGCTAGCTGGCAATGGGGTTTCTGTGTTTCTCTGTGTCGAGTTTCTTCACTGGTGTTTTGTTTACACCTGTAATGCTAACTTGCTGTACAAGTAGCTCAAACTCGCTCATTCAAAGGCAGGAACGAGCGGATGTGCAAAAACTTAAGTAAACACAAAACAAAGTATTTATTTAGAGATCCTCCATGGGACTTGCTTGCGATTCGTGTTTTTATGGCATGTAGTTGAAATTTGAACCATGCCAGCATCAACATCAGCCACGGTGAAGGGTATGTCTGAAGGCTGTGCCAGAACATCTACGCCTTGATGCAGAACTATAAATCAGCCTTTAATCCACACCATATACAACATGCAAGATATTTTGGCAAAACATTAAATATTAGCAATAATTCAGAAATTTTCTAAATCCATCACTATTCTTTTAATCTCTCATTCAAGTGAATTATAACCCTTCACAGTGAGTGATTTACATTAGCTGACTCTGCTGAACACACTAACGTTCTTTCTTGTGGGCATTTGACAGTATGGTTAAAAACTAGCCTACTACTAAAGCATCATCTGTGGTTAAAAACGGTTGTGGTTTCAAAAATGTGTTTGAAAAACTCAGAATCAATGCAGAATTGATTCTATTTTGAAACTACATTTTTGCATGTATTTAAAAACATATGTTGAGGTGACACTAGAATAAAAAAATTAGTTAACATTAATTATTGCATTAACACAGATATAAGTTAAAGATATAACAGACATTAGTTAACTAACAATCAAAATTACATCTATAACATATTTAATTAAACTCCAGCAAATAAAAACATATTTATTGTTATTTCATATTTAGCTATATTTAAACAATAAATGTAGTAATAAAAATTAACGATGTTCAATAAATATATATTTTTTGTATTTGTCATTGATAGCTCATGATACCTACACTGAAAATAAATGTCTGCAAAACTGTTGAAAGAAATTTATTTGTGTTGAATTTAAACAAATTAAGTGTAATAATATTCAACTTAATTTGTTTGTTAAAATTCAGCCTAAATACATTGTTTACAACCACTTAAAAAAAATTTGTAAATCCAAGGAATGGTCTTCGAATTTGTTTTTCATTTTAACCAATCAAATTTATCAAAATGTTAATTGTTTTATTTTACTTCCCGCAAAAATCTATTTTACACCAAAAGAGTTTATCCCATGCATATAAAATCACCAAACTTTACCTAAAAATAAAGTCCCCAAGTGTTCTCTTTGACAAGGCTAGAATGAGTTGGTCTACCCAAAAACAATTTGAAGCTCAAATTGCTATTGTGAGCCATTTCTAGTCTCAGGCTGTGCTTTAGAGAGAGTTCATTGATCGAGAAACAGGTGATTTAATTAGTTTTCACAGTAGATGAGCAGAGAGTGATACACTCAACATCACGAGAGCTCATGTTCAATTCTTCTTACTTACGGACTGCCTACACTGTTCACACCTAGATTTAATGATGGTAACACCCGCTGGTCTCTTGTTACCCTGTTCTGTTCCCAGTTGAGTTTTAATACCATAAAAGAAGTATATGGATCTGACTGAGAAATATGGCTGGTTCATTTAATGCACAAATACTCACAAGGGTGTAGGATGATGTGGTTGGAGATGCGGGGGACATGCCCTTCCAAAACTAAATTTTTCAATGGACAGTTGTCCTCAAGCCATGCTTTCTTTGAGCAATATGCAGAGTTTTTTATTTCTGGACAATGACACTCAGCCAACACATTTATCCTAGCTGCTAAGAGGAAAGTTAATCAGGCACATGGCGAAAGTGTGGTTTGCAATACAGATATGTAAGTTGTCATTGTTTTTTAGCGATTGACTTCAATGTAACATGCTAAAATTCACTGACCAATGTTCTGTCAGTTTTAAGCACCATTTACGGTGGATAGATAAATATATAAGCATGAGTCTCTTTGACGCTTCGGATCATTCACATCTTCTCTTTGTTCTTTCACTTAAGCTTTATTCACATGGAATTAATATTACTAGGCGACTCATTAGAAGTAATTCCAGAAGTTGTGATCTTAGGGTGCTTTCACACCAAAACTTTTGTTTCAGAACCTGGAGCTTTTCCCCAATGCCCTGTTTGTATGGCATATGTAAATCAAGCAATCTCACTCGGATCCGCGCCAAAACAGTCAGTCCGAGATTCCCTGAATGAGGTGGTCTTGGCTCGATCAAAACGAACTTTGGAGCAGATTGATTGTAGTGAGAAAGCAATACGATCTGAACCAGGCTATATCACAGTGTGTTATGTATATGTAATATGCATACATACGGTTATTTGAAAAGAGAATTATGAGTAGGACAGGATGTCATTTCTACTGGTAAATGTGCGTTTCATGTCAAATACGAAAGTGAAAACATGTAAACTATTAACGAGAGCTGTTTATCCGTTAGGAAAATTGACCGAACAGTGGTCTTTATCTGTTATTTCTCACTGTTATGTAAAGCCTATAATGCATAAGCCATTTGCTATGTATGAGAAAATCTTACCTCTGATTTATATCTGGTGACGATGTCTGTGGGTGTAACCCATTAAAATGAAAGCACAGGTTTCGCTTATATTGTCTTATTGCTCATCATCATAAATTAAAAAAAGAACAGATGAGGGCTGAGCGGAAATTCTGACCAATGTGAGGAGAGTTTACTCGCAGGTGACTTGTTTTTTAGTTTCGAAGCTAAATAATCTATCCACAGGTGTGAAAGCACCCTAAATCCCCCATGAAAAGAATTTATAAGCATAAACCCACAAGCATGTCTAGAGGGGATGTTAGAGGTGTATCATACTGTGTAAATTGTTGTTGAGTGTAAAAATTACTGTTGAGATGTTGTTAAAAAATTGACAGATTTCTGAGATATCTGAACAAAAAATGTACAGGTGTACAAATGTACAGTTTGAAAAAAGTAGACAAAACCTCTAAAATATGTGCAAAAATAGCTTGTCACTATGACAGTACCTTTAAAAGGTCTTATTAAATTATTAAATAACGGTACTGCCCCAGAAACAGAACGCCCAGTTCTTTCTTTTTTTTTTGTCCATTCATAATCGTAAAAAGCATGTTTTGCAAAAGTGTTTGATTAAGAATGACAAATTAGATAATGAATCAACATTTTAAGCTTACAATTGTGATTTTTTTTCAGTTACAGCTAAAAAAGAAAAAAAGAAAAAAGAACTTTCAATTGGACAAATGGCACAAAAAAGATCATCTGATTCAAAGACTAAATGAGAGACCTGATCTTTACAGGGCTGTTAGTTTGACATTCAGTAAGCATTTCTAACTGATGTGAAGCATTTGCATGAATATCTATCCCACCCACTGGGAGATTTTGGCTCTCTTTGTCAGAGTGACTCACAAATACAATAATGAAGAGCTTTCTTCATTCACCACGACAGCTGGCTCCAATTTTTCTCCACCACAAATTGGTCAGTCAAGAGTATCTATTTAAGCAATTTTAAAAACCACTGTTTTTATTTTGTTTTTATACTTCTCTCTGAAGTCTGTTATTACCTTCAAGCCAAGGAGATAAAGCGAGCTGGAGAAATTAAACAGAGAACTATCACCGCCTCTACAAAATTAGTTTCACGCACACACTGTCTATTTAGATTTTGTGAAGGCACTCAGAGGTGTAGAGTTCAACACTACTTGGTGCATTTTAATGTCTTGTTCAGAACTAACGGCCAATGAATGTTTCAGAGTGAGCAAAGATCATTTGAGAAAAAAATGTGATGCTCTTTTTGGCATTGTTTTACTGTTGGGAAAAGGGGGATCTTTTGCTTTAATTTAGTGGTCTGCTCACTAAGATTATTATTCATAAATTATTTACAAAGACTATAGAATACACATGTCACTCGTACAGTTTTGAATGGGGAACAGTGTAACGGTCAATATGGCAAAGGAAGTCCTGTTTTCTAGTACAAGAGCCAATCATTGATCACTAAAATAAAATATGGTGGATTAACATAATATTTATTTTTCATTCTACTTTTATTTTGGAATCACTTTCTACATTATTTAAAATAGATCTGTAACGCAAAATGGGACTAATTTTATTGACATACTGAAGTAAATTGTATAAATAAAACCAAAGATATGAAAATACTTAATATAGATTAGGATTGTAACTAATAATTAAATAATATAAACTACCTGTTACTGACTGGCATGAATCATGCAGTGACCACCTCTGTTCATGACAGCGGAGCACTGTCCGTTTAATCGTCATCCAGAATGCGTGTGGAGTGGCTGCGAGAAATGAAATCGAGGCACGTACAGTACTGTATGCTGAGAAACACAGAGATAAGGTAAAGATTTACAGTCTTCGAAACAAACACAAGTTAACTAGAGGCTACCACAACCCTCAATCTGCATCTTAGTGCGCTTTAATTTTCTTTTTTATTTATAATAGTAAGTTTTGATTTAAGTTTTAGAAAGTATTTATAAAATACATATATCCTAAAGTTTATCTATCTTAAATATAAAATAAATACATAATCAAAATAATGGTAAAAATGTAAACCTGCATATTTTAAAACAAGGTTGGGATGTATTCTGTACAGTGGAGTTTGTTGTTCGATGTGCCACCTGGTGGATGTTCTGTGAAGCACAACACATTTATTTCAATTCCAAGGAGTTTGACAGCATGCTGCGGCTGACCACAGAATGAAATGAGGTGAGCCGCAGTTAAAACGCACATTCTTAATGGCCCCAATCTGTAGATTGAAGATTTTCTGAGGGAGGGGCTCAGACAAGACATGAATTTCTACAGATTTCGTGCGACTCAAACGTTTACAAATGAGACGGTTTTTGTTTAAATGTATTTCTGATTCCTATTATGAAATTTAATCATAAGCTTGGCAAGCAATTTTGGAGAATGTAATGCTTTCCCATTCAAACAGAATGCCCTATCACATTGCCCGAGAGGCGTTTTAAAGATGGCCGCTGATTCAATTAAATTCAATTCATTTTTATTTCTAAAGCGCTTTTGCAATGTAGATTGTGTCAAAGCAGCTTGATATAAAAGATCTAGCAAATTGTTACTGCGGCAGCGACTCGGCCCCAGCCATTCCCCTCATGGACCAGCAGAGGTCACTCTCACCTGCCTTTTAGAACTCCATCACCCAGAATCCTCGTATCTGACGCTGATTTCTCTGCACCTGATCTCAATTCACACACTCACATAAAAGCAGCATTTACACAACACCCAATGTGAAGTCTTGTTTTGCCCCGCATACATTACTTAGCATTTATCCTGCCTTCTGACTGATCTTTCTTTGCCACCGGACTGTTTACTTACTCTCGTCTTGTCTCGCTGTCTGCCCTGATTACCGCCCTTTCTCTGGATTTGAACCTCTGCTGCCAGAGCCGCCCTCTGCCCACTTACCGATGTAGAACGCTCATTGCCTGCCCTCGACATTGTTTATTCTCCTCATTCACTTGAGTATAACACTTACTGCCGATTGTCTATTGTTTATTCCCTGTCTAATAAACGAACTGCATATGGATCCCTCTCTGTCAGACCAATCATTACACTGTGTCAGTCCAGTTTTCAGAGTTAAAGTTAAGTTCAGTTCAGTGTGGTTTAAATTTCACTGCTGAAAAAGTTCACTAAAGAGGAAATCCATCAATGCGCAGCTCCACAAGTCCCAAACCAAGCAAGCCAGTGGCGACAGAAGCAGGGAACAAATTTCACCAATTGACAAAAGTGAAGGAAAAGAACCTTGAAGGAAACCAGGCTGAGTTGGACATGGCCATTTCTCCTCTGGCCAAGCTTTCTGTGCGGAGCTGCAGTCTAGGTACAAGAGGCTGGAAACGCTGGACATTTCTTTATGGAGAAGCTGTAGGTATGAGTAGGTCACTGGCAGGTGTTCAGGCTGGCCTTCCAGATCAATAAAAAGACTAATCTGTCACTGGGGTCTTTCAGGAATAAGTCTCATGCTCTCCCCTTATCCATGACCGCCACATCATTAGCTCAGGATACAGCCTGGTCCAGGATCATGGATACCTTGCATCATTTCCTCAAAGGTCTTGGATAACATCAATAGTGCTGCATAATCTGTAGAGTAGGGGTAGGCAAACTTGGTCCTGGAGGGCAGCTGTCCTGCACAGTTTAGCTCCAACTCTTATCACACACACCTGCTTATAGATTTCTAGTGATCTTGAAGAAACTGATTAGCATGTTCAGGTGTGTTCGATACGTGTTGCAGCTAAAATATGCAGGACACCGGCCCTTCAGGACCGAGTTTGCCCTCCCCTGTTCTAAAGGCCTCGGGATGAGTATCTCCAGTTGGAAATAAATAAAAATAATTGAGCATAATTAGCGTAGGTGCTGTTCATAGTGTATTTAAACACAAGATGCAAAAATGAAGTGCTATAAATGAAAATAGTAGTTATATAAGCAAACATACAAACAAACATGTAAAGCACATGAGTATTTCTAACAAAATGTCAGGTATATTAGGGCAGGAGGAGTGTGTCCTACAGGTGGTTTGTGGTCACTGAGTGATATGTCTTAAAGGGACTCTGGTAAAAGACATTCAAATTATGACTTCATAAACAAATCCATGTTGCCATAGTCACTGGTCTATAAGTAAACTGATAAACAAACTAACTTGTTTGTATTAATTATAAATGCAACTATTTAAGCATACAATGGTTAAAGTTTTACTCTGTGTATTTGATTTTAAAGCATTGATTCTGTAAATGGGTGTAATCAACCACACTTATTGCGATATTTATCTTAGAAATGAGCATTTTTTTCTCTTTATTCTAATACTGAAAAGCTGTGATTACTGACGTAGATCAGATAATAATCACAAATCTGTAATCTACTCTTGTGCTCTACGAAGGGCGTTTATGTATCATTTTAGGCAGGCAGCAAATGAGGCCGTCATGAAGGGCCCTCGGCTAATCATATAGATTAACTCTCAGATGTGACCCTCGGTGGGTCTGGCTGAGAACGCCTTCAGTTCTTTCTCTCTGGCTTTTTTGCCTTTAAGTAAATAGCAGCTCTCTTATGTTCTGATGTATGCTGAGCACGGGCAAACTTGACATCCCCACTAGTCCCTTGTGAGGCATATGCTTGAATTTGCTTATAAAGAGGTGTTTCTGCATAGCATATAATCCACAGCAAGCTGCAGATATATTGTGGGTTTACATAGAGATACAATTACTGGCAAAAGCGGATCATATGCAAGTGTTGATTTGCACAGCGGACAGAAGAGAACATGCTGATCTTCGTGACAGCTGTAGTTTGTCGGTGTAAAGATGCTGTAAGAGCAGATCTTCCAAAGCTCTGCTTTTCTATGAGGCAGAAAAAAGTCTGTTGATTTTTCAGGGCTGCCTTAATGCTCACTGGTGGTTTAGACAGCTTAATGGTTGGTCAGTTTATAAAATGCATAGTAGGGGGTGCTTGGTGCTTTTTATTCTCACATCAATCCCTCTTTGATCTCCATGTTGTGTGAAATCTAAGTGTATTATTCAAATGAAAAAAGTTTTGAAACTTGGTAAGATTTCACGTTTTCAGGAATAATTAAAATTTTTCTTACATGGTTCATTTTAACAGTAAGCATCTGCTGCATAGCACAATCAATCATTCAACTCAGTCAATACAGATTATTATAGACAATACATTTTTACTATATTCCAAGTTTGTCATTCATTCATTCATTCATTCATTTTTTTTTTTGGCTTAGTCCCTTAAATAATCAGGGGTTGTCACAGCGGAATGAACTGCCAACTTATCCAGCATATGTTTTACGCAGCAAATGCCCTTCCAGCTGCAACCCAACACTGGCAAACAGCCATACACACTTCTTCACACACACACTTACACAATTCTATTTAGCTTATTCAATTTACCTATAGCACATGTCTTTGGACTGTGGGGGAAACCGGAGCATCTAGAGAAAACCCACACAAACTAGGGGGGGACATGCAAACTCCACACAGAAATGCCACTTAACCCAGCTGGGCCTCGAACTGTGTAACTTCTTGCTATAAGGTGATTGTGCTACCCTCTGTGCCACTGTGATGCCCTGATGTCATCTAAGCTATTTTATCTACACTGTAAAAAATTTTGTTATTTTACATTTTTTTACGTCTGTTAAAAAGCTAAAATAACGACAGTAAAATTACAGAAACTTACTGTAATATAACAGACATTAAATTACAGAAATTTACCGTAAAATAACAAACATTAAATTACAGAAATGTATTGTAAAATAACGGACATTAAACTACAGAAATTTGCCGAAAAATAGCGCACATTAAATGACAAAAAATTCCTTAAATTAAAATTTCTGATAAATGTATGTAATTTAATGTGTTATTTTACAGTAAATTTCCGTAATTTAATTATTAGTTATTTTACATTTTATAACAGATGCAACGTAAAAAAATGTAAAATAACAGATTTTGGGGACAGGGTAGGTTGTGTCGCGGATGAAAGTAAAGAGCGGGGCTGGGGTGCATGTGAGGAGGAGAATCGGTGAAATGAGGTGCCCTGCTGCTGTGTCTTCAATGTTGTGTGAAGATTATAGTGCCTAATTGAAACTTCAAGAAGGACACAGCAAGGAAATATCCATTTTTAAATTAAAATGACTTTGCTACAATGCTACACTTTTACATTTAAAAGGGAAACATAAGGACGATCTTAAACAAAAAAGAACCCTAGTCTATAAAGTGTTTATAGAATATCTTAAACTGACAAGTAGCTATGTTTTTTCTTTACCTATATACATATATTTATTTATTATAGTACTTAGTTGGCTAATTTGGAGGCGATGGAAAAGTGGTTGTTCCTTACACCACCTGGGGGATATTGCGTAACGCACATATTTTTATTTATTTATTTTTAATGAAGGCGGCTTTTGCTGTTGCAGCACAGCATGTGATTGTGCATGACAAATTGCAGCACTACGCGTGAAGAAATGCACATTCTCAGTGACCGCATCTGTATGTGCAAAATATTATATACAAAATAAAAAAAATGTTTTAAGTACATGAGTTTTTATTATTTTTTTTCAACCAATAAAACACATAAAAACATAAACAGTGTAATACAGAATAGTTAAAATATAATCTTGGGATAAAAATAGAATTGCTACACTTTAAAATATTTGACCTTAAATTTACAGTAAAGTACTGGTTCATAATTGCATTACTTTCCCAGTAAGGTACTGTATGTAAATTCACAGTAAATTACTGGGAGGTATTTCATAATAACAATAATTCTGTAAATATTTCTAAATATTTTTTTAAAAATTGCCTGTACTAGCATAAAAGTTAATGTGTATTATTTTCAACGTTAAATAAAATATTATTAGTGTATGAATTCTTATAATTAACCTGCAAAGAATATCACAATTTTTACAGTAATGTGCTGTAATCATTATGCCACCCTCAATTTCTCAATAAAATTCTAAATACGTAAAATTAAACAGTTAAATCAAAGTGACACTAATGTAATTTACTGTAAAAAAATTACAGCAACATGTTGTGAAATTCTAGGAATTTATTACAATGTAATACTGAAGGGCTCTACATTTCTGTAAGACTCAGTTGCAGCAAATAGACAGACAGACAGACAGAAAGACAGACAGACAGACAGACAGACAGGCATACCCTTCATACCCCCGACTGTAGCTTTTATGTTTTATCCTTCCTCTCGCAAAAGCCCACAGCTAAAGGCCTATGCAGATTTTCAGCCCCTTCCCATGAGATCCTGTCTCATTACTGTGCCATGGGCTATTTTTTTCCAATTCCTTTCCACACACAATGCTTCAGACCTCACCTTGTGGCATTTTTCTCAGCAGCCGAAAGGAAGTGGCTTTTCCAAATCGGAAAACATCATGAATAGCCAACCCTGCATCAGTAAACAAATTAGCTCAGCAGAGTTCTGTACCGTACAAAGATAAATTACATTTGGGCAACTTTTATTCATATTTAGATATTTGAATACACAGTACATTGCATACTCTGCACATCACTAATATGAGTGTACGCATTTATAGCCACTTGAATCATCGGTCTGTTGCTTAGTAGCCAAATGTAAAGACCATAAAGCATAAATATCTTGCAATCCCATGATAACTTCAGAAGTGTTTATC